TCCGCAGTCTGAGTCAGTCGGGTTTCCTCCACCCAGTCGGTTGGAGTTCTGATATTCCCGTCCTGGACAAGGTGGGCCCTTTGCCCTTAAAGCTCTAGTCTGACGTGTCACTGATTTGTACCTCTCTTTGCCTCAGAGCCACTCCGACAGCGATGAATCGATGAATGTCGGTGACGCTGACTGTACCCCGTTCTTAACTTTAAAGCTTCATATGCAGCATACATGAATGAACAGATCATGGATGATCATGATACTGATCATGATATGATATGATACGAGTAGTATGTGAACTGTGAACATTGTAAAGCTGTATGACTTTAAGTTGTTACCCCATACCCAACGTGGCGCGGGAATGGAATCAACAGGAGTCTGAACCGTCTTCGCGAGGCCGGGGTTCGCTCCGCGAGCTCGGTGCCGAACAATTCGTACCAACACAGCTGGTCCAGAGGTCCAGAGGTCCCTGTCCTTTGGGGTGGGAATACCTTATCCGAAAAACCTACAGATCCGGAAGACACATGTTTAGAATGAGCCCTATGGATTCCGTGCTTGGTGTTCCGAACGGATCGCATGCGATACCTAGGTGGTGCCCGTAATCGAGACGCCGGGCCATGTCCTGGCCGCGCTGGCGGCGTATCCTGAGCATCTCAGATCTGAGTGGAGGGGGAAATCTGCGACTTTGAGTGAAGCTTGAGGCCTCCAACTACAGCTTGTCAAGCTATATAGGCGACTCAGGTAGGCTCTGACAAGCTAAGCTATCCCTGGAGCCCTGGGCCGCCTAGGATTGAGTAATTGATGATGGAAATTCGTGTCAGCAAGCAATTGGATTGAAATCACAAAGCAACCAACAGCGTGTTGCTTTTCGTTGTTGGTGCGCCAGTGCTGCCATGTTTTATTTTGGACGCATGGGACCATGCGAATCCGTGTTGGGAATTGTCGACAGATCCCACGAGATCGGACTGTGGCAGATGGTGGCAATTGTTGTCGACGGATCTTTGTAGAGGCAGGCCCAAGGATTCGATTGTTTTTCCGGGAGCCTAGGGCACCTGTGAATAGCACAAGGGTATCACAAGTAGGGTATATTTATTGTTAACGTGAAGTGGGGTTGGAGAAGAAAAGGGAAATTGAACTGGGCATGATGAATTGAAAACCGACCTCGAACCCCAGGAATCAGATGAGAAAAACGACGTTGGAGAAAGGGAAGAGTCAGGTGGTTACCCAAAAAATTGGCACCATGAAGGGCGGAACAAGCTAATCGGGTTAGTGTGCCAAATCTGTTGTCGTTTGAAAGGAGTTTTTGCAAGAACAAGGGCGGACCAGGAGTGGTTCCTTAATCGATTGCAGCTTGACATTAAGCAAATCCCCACCGCTGAGGTTGTCCTGCGATGGAACGTACTTTGAGGTGCCCAAGCAAAGTTTCTTGATGCCCATACTCGATCGACAGCGGGAAGGGAGAGGAAGGGAAACCCAATAGTGAAGGGGGGTGTTATGGTGAGTTTGTTTGTTTTTATCTTCTGTATATATACTAGTAGGTTTAGCCCGACCTCACTCAACGTTTTATGAATTGTTTGTCCAAAGCACTGTTAAATAATATCACTTTGGCAAGTGTTGGATATTTTGCACCTGACATGTTATTTAACTCCTGCACAAGTGCCACAGCATGTTGAAGTGTGTTTAAATGTATTTAAATGTGTTTAAGACGAGAAAACCGATTTCGATATATTTCGATCGATTTCCGATATCTCAATATATGGACATCCGAGCTGCAAAATGATGATATGATACATAATGGTCCCCAAATGGATAGAAACGGTGTTCCAATACATGTTGAAAGGGATTTCTATCTATTGGAGGTCTATTTATACTTAATTATTGGTTGATGCATCGCTCATCGCCCTTCCAAATGTTTGGGGTCCCAGGAGCATTGACACACAGAAAAAAAACGGAAGTGGGTGCTCATGTGGTGACCATACTAGTCTCTTGGATCAATTCCTACCATCAAAGCAGTAGGGTGGCCACAACCGATCGTTCTGAGTGTTTTTGCTTCATCTTATTGCTGCGCCCTTCAGGAAGGCTTGAATCCGTGAACAATTACAAGCACTACCATCCAAAACTCAATCGATTCCAGAGGTCGTCGAGGTAGAGATGTAGCCATCCACGGGCATGCAGTGGTGCAACACCTTCCGCATCTAAAGCAGCTCTTTGCACTGCACTTTCAGGACCTGTGAGACATTCTCCAGAACAAGTGGCAAATCTCATTTAAAAAAAGTCGAGAATCCAGAGACCTATAGACTTTAGTTTATTTTCCCTTGCCTGCCAAGTGTTCGATCGAACCCGCCGAAATCACATACATCACTATACTGCTCCATCCGACTCCATCTCTCGCCTCGGCTTCCTCTCTCCAAACGTGCAAGGAATTGGGACCTACAAAGAAGCCTTGTGCGTTGGGAAGGCTCGGGTGAACTTGAAACTCCGGGCGCTGTCAAGCCGCTTCAGGCTGGGAGGAGACACCGGGGCTCGCCCGGAAAGTGAGAGGATCCTGTTCTTTGTTTCAAGCAGGAAGAGAGGTCCCAGCTTCAATTTTATAGGTGGGGTTGCCATGAATCCATTGATTTGGGGCGAATTTGGATGAATCCCTAGAACAGTGATGGGGGCCGTTTCGGAAGAGTGGACGTTGGGTCGGGAAGGATTCAGCTGCCTTACAGACTTCATGGGCAAAGGAACTGCTAGTGTTCTGATTCATGATGTTTTCTGTTGAACGATGAGTAGGAAAAAGACGTGGCGCCATGCTATTGTTGTAACGATTGTGCCTCCTGAACGATGCCATGAGACCCAATGGAAAAGCTCAGCTTAGGCACAGTCGAGGTGATCATCATGTATCACTGAGTTTGGTGATGCACCTGGGAGACACGTGACCACGCTGATTTCAGACCATGACTTTTCACATCAACATACCGTGGCTGCACAGGTGGCACGTTCCATCACCACACCGGTTGGTGGGTTTTGAGGCCTCGGCCGCCTCGATCAGCCAGAGGCCTCGACCTTCGACTTCGCCAAGGACGTCTTCGGCAACGTGGCAAGGCTCTTTCCCGGGAGGCGAGGTGGCCGGGTCGACGAAGTTGGCCCACCAGAAGGTCGCTCTCAGCTTCAGGACACAGGTGGGTAGTGTACCATTATACCAGGTGTATACATGTGTGTACATTAGGATCATACTGTATGAAACTTAATATTGTTTGGTCGGTTTTGCTCCACAATCGAAGCATTCATCTTAACATACGATGTTCTTTCAGTCGCTGGCACTTGGGCCTCCCATGCCTCGATCGGATCGACAGATCCGATCGGCCAGGTGGATCCATATCGGTGGAGATGAGGTGGTGGCCGAAAGCTGGTGGACCAGCGATCACACCAGGCACCCCACCCCGCGCCGTCCGGCGAGGGCGTTCTATGGACCTCTTGAGGTGGAGTTCACCACCTGTAGGGGAGGGTGGATGGGAAGAGATGGTATAGGCGGTATACGGTATACAGGTGAGGTGCTGCTGTGAGATGCTGTGAGTATGCTGGTAGGACATCAAGGATTCTTTGAGAGCCACATTGAGTTCAGTTCTCGTACGTTGTATGAAAAATATTGCTCGTTCAATCCAGTCTGTCAGTCTGTTGAATCTTGTAATCTGCCAGAACTGGCAGTGTTTTGAATGGCAGAACTCTTCGCAATCTTGTCTTGTATTCTGGCAGTGTTTTCTTTGTTGGTCGAACTCTTCGCTCCAGACAGCCCCACCGAGCGCTTGAACCGAGCGCCCGTGGAGCTTCCGCGTCGTCCCGGAGTTGAAGCTACACGGCGCACGATGGAGCTGAAGCCGCCGGAACGAACGCCAGGGCGTTTGCCGGGATGGCGGGGCTACGGAATTTGGCGGTGGACTTGATGGAGAGCTCCTTGATGCAAGGGACAGCGCTTGAATACAGGGAATGCCGGTGAGTTATTCTGAAGGCCTTCCTTGGGTGAGCAAGTGTGTGGTTGCTTTTCTTTGGGTGTGTTTTTGGTCCTCCTTGGAAAGGGGATATTTGTTAGTTGTTTAGTTGTTTGTTGGTTTGTGTACGTAGTCTAATGGTGTTGATTTAGCCACCAGCTGGGGAGGCTTGTGCAGGTCTGAAAGATCGAGTTGGAACCTAGGGATCTCAAACACTACCTGCACCTACATGTAGCCTATAGAAGCTCGTTGCAAGCGGAAACCTCTTTGGAACAACCTTGCTAGCAAAAGACTCTTAGTTAACCAAGCTATATATGGATCTATATGGGATGGGTCAACCAAGGTAGGCATCCTTGTTACAGACCCACGGTCGCCAGGGTCTGCACGGTCTCTTCTCAGCACCTGCTAGGTTGGTTCTGTGCTGTGGGCAAGATCCTCAAGGCACCGGAGCAGTGTGGACCGGAGTCGCGGTGGACCGGGCTCTGGTGGTGGCGTCACTGTGGACCAGAGCCCAAAGAAACGGTGGCTTTCCGCCCGTGTGGTTTGGTACAGAATTCCCACTCCATGGGACTGCGGTAGGACTGCCGAGAAACGGCCAGGGGTGGTTGACTGGGGGTCAATGTCGAGCATTTTCTCTTTGGGGCGTGCTTTGGAGTGGTCCCGTCATTCTCATGCGAGAACCCCCGCGGTTTGGGTGAGCGAAAAGAACGTCACTCGAATGACGAAGTGGAGCGAAAAGAACGCCACTCGAAGGGTGAGCGGATGGATCGCGCAGGCGTTCCTTTCTTGCAAAGGGAAGTTGGACCGAATCCTAGATGAATCTTAGGAGGCGTCAAGTCAAAGCGAAGGCTGTGTGGCCCATGAGTGGCCCTCCGGCACTACCGCTATCACAATGTCCGTTTCACAGTCATGCACGACGTTCCCCACCCACTCACATGAAGATTGCAACTGGTAGGGATCGCTCGGGTGGTGTGCTCGTGTACCCCCCAAATGGAGATCTCTCGATTAAACTACAAATATATACGTAAACAGAACAATAGTAATAATATATGTATAGTAATACTACTTCATACAAGAATGCTGACATAATAATCTATATATGTATGTGTATATATATATATACACACACAGCGAGTCGGCGTTCGTGTGGTCGACCGATAAGGACACGCGCCTTTTCTTGCACTTGAGCCAAACGTGAGGGCTTGATGTACATGACCTGTACATGATTGACATACATGCTTCTGCGGTTCCTGTGCTACTCGCATACACATTATATAATAGACAGCTAGTATATAACCCTGCACGCTTCATCAAGCGTGTTTCAGTCGTCCAGCACCACTGGGCACAGAAATGCCTGCCGTGGCAGGAGTTGGACCGTCAGCCCATTGTGTGGGATGACCACTTCCCTCAACGCCTCATGGCAACACAGCTTTGTCCCAATGCTTCCAAGGCCAGCTTTGTCCAGATGCGAACGCCATGCGTGGATGGGGCACCAATGTTAGAAGTTTGAAAGCAGCAATACATGACAGGGGAACGAACTGAAACAGCAAAATGAGCGAACGCAATACACCACCTGTTCACCCTATTTTATTGTGGATGGGACCATTCTGTTACTATTATCCGTTTTGGGATCGACCAAAGATCTTGGAAGATGTGACCGTAAGACCAGAGAATGCTTTTCATGGATCAGTCTTCGTCAAATCCGCAGATTGCCCACCCAATTTTGAGAGGACTCTTTGATAGCATGATTCCCTGTGTTGTTTTATGTGTTGGTTGGTTGGTTGGTTGGTTGGTTGGTTGGTTGGTTGGTTGGTT